CCAGCGTCAGTATTCATCCTGATTGGTGGGTGTCGGCCTGTAGCTCCTCCTCCCTGATGACATCAGATTGTAAACAGTGTTTGGACCAGCGTGTTGATGTTTTGATTCATGACTCTTTAATGGGCTGATCGACACATTGAAAGTCTTCTCCAGAAACATGCTGCAGTCTGAAGCAACATAAGCTGCAGCTCGTTCTCAGCTCGCTCCTTATGTAAGCAGATGACAAATCATAGCCTCCATTCAGAAGGAGGCAGCTCCATCTGCTCTCATTGTTGTTCTCCGCTTCATTCAGGAATAAACAGACTCTTGGTCCGCTGTCATTTTCTTTCATCTGCAAACAATATCTGCAGCAGATCTTCAGAGAATTACAGGTTTATCTGTCGCCCATGATTCATCCAACATCTCCTCAGAGATCTGAGCTGCAGCTTGTTTTCTATACGTTACACTGACACTTCAACAGTTAGCCGCTGACTCTTCTATCGTTTAAACTAGACTCAAAATAAAGAAATATGTTGAAGAACAAACTAATTAACCGTTACACCTGATCAAAGCCACTTAATGTTTGAAGATGACATTTTAAACTAGTCTGCTCTATAAGAAGGGCTGATTGGTTCAGGAGCTGCAGCTGCAAAGGTCCGGCCTCCTCTGTGAGTGTGAAACATCTGGAGCTGCAATAAGAAGACAATTAACCATCGAGTGCTTTATAGATCAACAATAAAACCTTTATAAAGCTAAAGAGAAATGTTAGAATGTCTTCATCAGACTCTGTGTCGTTGTCTCCACAGCAGCTTCATTCTTTGGTCAAAATGTCCACGGTCCCTCCTCTAGCTAACAGGGAGCTAAAAGTAGAAAAAGACTCACTAAAAACAATAACAGATTACACAGATGGAAAAAGTAACTAAAACCTAGATAAACAATTAAATCACCAAGGTGCTAGCCAAAGGTAGCAAGACTAGCTGAAAGCTAAAGTAGCTACAGGCCACCTGAAAGAAGTATAAGAAGGCTAAATATAACAAAAAATTTAAAATATTAAAAAGGCAGCAAAAATTGACCTGAAATGTAAAAATTATCAGAAAAGAAGCAAAAGATTATCTAAACTTTAGATAATCTGTAGATAGATTAGCCTAGAAAACGGCTAGCTATATAATAAAATTAATACAATTATAGCTAAATTAACAAAATATTAGATAAAAGCAGCAAAAGGCCACCTGAAAAAGTATAAGAAGTCTAGCTAGAAGTTAAAAGTAGCAAAAGGCTAGCTAAAAGAAGTAAAAAGTGGCTAACTAGAAGCAAAAAGTAGCAAAAGGCTAGCTAAAAGAAGTAAAAAGAGGCTAGCTAGAAGTTAAAAGTAGCAAAAGGCTAGCTAAAAGAAGTAAAAAGTGGCTAGCTAGAAGTTAAAAGTAGCAAAAGGCTAGCTAAAAGAAGTAAAAAGTGGCTTGCTAGAAGTTAAAAGTAGCAAAAGGCTAGCTAAAAGAAGTAAAAAGTGGCTAACTAGAAGCAAAAAGTAGCAAAAGGCCAGCTAAAAGAAGTATAAAGAGGCTAGCTGGAAGTTAAAAGTAGCAAAAGGCTAGCTAAAAGAAGTAAATAGTGGCTAACTAGAAGCAAAAAGTAGCAAAAGG